ATTTTCATCACTTTTATCACTTTCCGCAGGTGGTTCCGCATTGACAATGTTTACTTAAGAGTACCTAGATCAAAAGTGTGATTTTGGCCGTATCGCGTGAGACATGAAACTTTGGCTAAAAAAATCGGGACGTCTCACGCAGAATGTCTGGTAACGCGGCTCCAAAGTAACTTAGTATATATTATCAAATTTTAGTATATTTCTATATTTGAAATTTCGATGCAAAAATATTTTTTAAACGAAAAAGAAGTAATTCCACAGCACGGACATGACTCCATCCATCATGATCGCAATCCACTTGAACAAAATTCGATTTACAACAGGCAGTTGTAAATAGTTTCCGGTCTCTTTTTGGGCGTTAATGAGTTTTAAGCTTTTTAATGTCAAAAGCTGAGCCGTTTGTCCATCTCCGGGAGAGATTTATAATGTCGTTGACAAAATAGAGGGCCTCTAGAAGGAACAGTATCTCCGGTGTAGCAATGTGGCCGAACACGGGATTTGTAAATTTAGGTCTCCTATGTTAATAGAACCGCTGCTTTCGAGGAGATCTTCCACCTCTCTCCGAATGTTTCTATATTGTGTTATAGGTAGATATAGACCCCTTATGTTAAAGTTACAACTCTGCGGCAGCTGAAGACGATGTTTGTCATGTCAGTCTACGGCGAATGGCGGCGGCAGCGGCGGAGGTCGAGCTTGGAAGGCGTGGTGGACGTGACGCGTCGCTGCGGCTACGATGAAGTGACCCACGTTCCCCACGACGTTGCTAGTACGTGTACTTACAGTCGTGCCCAGATTTTATACTCTTGCACTGCAATATACGCATCTCCTCAAGTTGGCGAAAATTGCTTTTTACTCAAATTTCACGATCATCTCCAACCCAGTATACGTAAAGACAGCTGTGAAAGAGCTATCAGCTGTTCTAACAACATGTTAATGTTGGACGACTACTTTCTCACATAAGACGTCTTGGTCATCATGACACGTGCAATGCACTTATTATTTTTAATCATATATTATTTATTATACGGCAGGGCGTGGTGGACGCGCGTGTGTACAGTGCACCTGGCGCATTCCCGCACATAACGACACGTAGAGTTACAGCCTTTAAAGGAATGAATTTTTGCCTACAAAGGCCTACAGGCTACTTCGTATTACAATTCAAGAAGTTCAAGTTCTTTTACCCTAAATAATTGGTATAAAGTATCATAATTCCTAATCCATCTATATTGTATGTTGTCAGATTCATAATTTTGTACCAAAAAATGCATACATTGTTACTTTGATGAGCGCCGTAAAATTTAGCTTCATTAGAATGACAGGTCGGCAAAATTAGCACGGTACGATGTACACTTGACAAAAGAGAATTACGTATTTAGTTTATCACTTGTTATTATTATTTTTATTTATTTCTTTATATTCAGGTTGTAAAGGCCCATAAATACTCACCTTATAGATAGACTAACATACATAATAATATAATAAAACGGTAACGACTAATAATTATTTACACGTTACACATTGAGTTTGTTCAGCCGCCATTTCTGCCGCCCACCAGTAACGTAGCATTACTGTGTTCCGGTTTTGGAGGGTGCTGGTGAAATTACAAGCACATGGGACTTGTCAACTTATATCTCAGGGTGACGGACGCAGTGGCAATGCGCCTCAGATCTTTGCCATTTAAAGCTCTGAGTGACACTGCAACTGTTATGGACAGGCGTGTAGCTTACCATCAGGCGCAGGACTTGTTCGTCCCGTAATTTATTACAAAAAAATTAAAAAAAACGTATTGTCTGCGACGTGACGCAACTTGAGTGTCCGGTAGCCGGCCTCGGAAGCGTCATCGGTACGACACCCTTCGGCCAAAACTCATCCTTCATAAAGGTTGACAGATGTTGATTTGGTACTCTCAACACAAATGTGTACCAATATATGTACTATTATTCAGGCATGCTTTGTTACATCAATGGGAGATCGTGTTGGTGCCTCAGAGGATGGAAAAAATAAATAGTCTAAGGTTGGGACACTGGGTCATAAACTTTGACATGTGTCAGTTTAATCGAGGTAAATTTTATTATTAACGAGTAAAATTTGAAATCCAAATCCAATGCACAGAATGCTTTACGAAAGACATTGATTTTGTGGGAAGCATTCACTTCCATTCTTATTATTTTTAAGACGACAAAGCTTCCATTAAACGGATATCCCAATTTATTCACTAGATTAATCAACTCAACACCATTTAGTTACTTTAAAGTATCTTTGTTAAAGATATAAATGTGCTTTGGAATATATGCAGCTGTCGCCATTTATACAGTAAATGGAACTAGAAGAAAGTGACCAACATAACTTAGAGAAACAAAGCAGCTTTCCACAAGAGCATCACAGCATGCACTATACTCGACAATCAACACTTTGTGCTCTCATGAGCGCTTTCATTTAATTTCGCCAAACTCAGTTTCACTCCAAGCATTTACTTTGAACTATTCTAAGCACACGATAATGTATGAAGATTTTAACTGCTTAGCTATTTTATGGTCATTGTTAAGTTTATTGAATGTCACGATGTTTTACTACCACCTAGTTTGCCTTAATCCACTAGCTTGTGATAAATTATTATTAACAAAGATCGAACACTTACGGCTTTCTCTTCGTGTTTGTTGTAGATCTTTGTTTTTGGTTTTTAGCGTTTTTTTGCCGTAGCACCATCTGTGGGAAATTTATTTCTTCACTCACCTTTACAGCTCCCAACGTTGGCTATAGATGTAGCTTTAATCATTGTCATTTTTAAGTTTATTGGATGTCACGATGTTTATTTCTTCTTTCTCACAATAGATGGCGCTACGACAAAAAGTCGTTAAAAACCAAAAATAAAGATCTACAACAAACACATAGAAAAATTTGTATGGTCTGCTGGTTCATTCTTTTGTGGCTTAATTGGCAGAGCATCTTGCCTGAGGGTGCTGGTCAGAATCCAGGCGGACCAAAATAATTTTTCTTAGTGTTTCAATCTTTGTTATTTACAATAATTATTTTAAGATCATTTATTTTCTTTTTATTGCAATGGTTTTGAAGACGGAATAAAAGTAATAGTATTTTGTTGTTTTATTAATGCTCTATTTCTTGTATTGTGGGTACATTCAATAATTTTTAATAAACATTTACACACATACATAAATCTCTTACTCCTCTCATACTCCTTAGTATTGCTTGGAACAACTTGCTATTAGCAAAGGGGCCTATTTGTTGTCACATGTTTGTATTTTGTTTTTGAAGGTATTTATTTTAACTACTTGCAGTAATCTAAGTATGTGTTATGATGTGAGACTCTCTTCATTCACTTTCACAAGTGGTTACTATTGAAAAAGAGCTGATGTTATAGTGAAAGAATTATGGTATAAACTAGCCTCCTTCACAAATTGTCACCATTTATAAGTACATTTATGACATTCTTGGTTAGCGCAACAAAAATATGGACATATAAGTACCTACATGATTTGATATCTTAAAACATATTTTTACATGTTTATAGATCAAGTAAAATACTCATCAATAAAAAGAACAGTGTGCAAGACACAGCTGTATTTATTATGGACACCGTATGACAGGGTCTGTGTCGTCCTATAAGATTGCAACAAAGAATTTGGTTGTTTCACTAAGAATCACATCATAAATTCAAGATCCAGAGAAAAATGAAATATATATATATGTGTGTGTGTATATATATATATATAATAATAATAAAGGCATGCGAGGTGCAGAGGCTACTCCTCCACACTTACCTTGAGGTTGGCCATGTGAGCTTGTTCTAGCTATAGTAGTCTGCAAGAACCTTAGCAAAAAGAGTGATTCTTGCCAAATAACATTCAAATATCAGTGATGCCAACTGCATATGCACCAGTAACCACTAACGATAACTGGTTCAAACCGGTAAGGCTAGGTGGTGGGTAGCTAGTTATCGATGTAGATATCACAGTTGAATAATATTAATAGGGTTTAAAAGGATTCAGGAATTTAATTTATGTTCAAAAATACCTTCTCAAAAATATGAATAAAATTTACAGGTAAGTACATTTTGGCCGCCACTCGATTAAATATGGAACTATATGTACAGGTTATGCTGGTATAGATGTAATCTGACCCACCTAATGTAGCTAAGTTGATTTGTGCCCAAACCAATGATAATGAATAAAAAATATGTCACAAAAAGGAGTGGGAACAAAAATGTTTATGATAGTAAATTATAGCAAACAAAGACTTGGTGGAACAACCACTACTATGAGTGAACACTTATGAATATTTGATGAAGTTCAAGAACAGGACTATACATTTTATGAGAAAATTAGCACACATTGGCACACCTGTGAAACCATAGCAACCAATTGGTAAACTTAAGACAATGACTAATATAGTAAAAACCACATTTAGCAGACACATTGCTTCAAAAGTACTGGCACTACAGATGATGTTGAAATCAATTAATGACTCTGTTCAGATGCTATAATATATGTTTATCAATAATTAAATCGCTTTTCATGAGGCTAAGGCATTCCACTGAGCTAAATGATCTACAACAGATTTTAGCTAAGCACACCATAAAGAAACAATAAGCAATTTTTTAAGATATTTTTTATCTGAGCAAAATGAAATGCCGAGTTTGTACACTTTGCATGTATCACAAACAGTACCTATATGAAATACTAATAAAATGGGCATCAAAGTTTTTAATTTTGTTATACAGTTGAGCAAAAATAGAAGTTAAAATAACTAGCAGCAGTGGGTTTTAGTCCAATATGCAGACGTCGAAAGTAACACAGCTCGGTGTCGGTCAGAGGTATGAATCACGCCGCGGCTGCTGCCTTCATTATTCCTTGACAACAATCTCATTTGCTTTGGTGCCTAACCTTTACTTCGTAAGCCTTTATTCAATTCTCATCAAAATGGTGAGCGCATTTAACTTCACTCGTCAATGCGACATGAAAAATGACGGTGTAAGCACCTACCTGCGATTTTGAGCCCAGCGCGTCGCCTCCAAACGGCTACGGCCACCTTCATTATGTCGAAATACTCAACAAAACAAAAATAAATTATCACCAACGCCAAAGCAAGATAACAAGTTTGTCAACACATATTTCACTACGCGAACTCTACGTTTCACTAATTAAATTAAGTTAAATTATACGAAAAACACAAATATAAATTACAAAATTAAAGTTTGAAACGAAACATCACCAAAGGACGTACATGATTGACTGACGTTTCGTGACGGTTATTTGACATTTCAGCAACAACAATTTTACTCGTCAGGCTTACCATAATAAAATCAGTTTTTTACCATTGTCAATTTTTTTTCATAAAATTTAATAAATTGTAAACATAAATACAAAGTAGTTGTGAATATAAAACAATATTCTATTTATTAGAATAATGTGAACTGACTTCATTTGTTACAAACGCCCAAACCCTTTACAAACATAGTTATAATTTCATTGGACACTTCATTACACGCAATTACTACCTGAATTAATGAGTACTTAAATAAAATTTTACGTATATACAACAAGAATTCTAAGAAACAATAACATTTTTAAAGCTACATAATGAAAATAATATTCTCCTTTGTATTTCGTTCCCTGAATCGAACAAAAGAAAAATATTTTTTACTATTAGTTTGCGTAAAACTAAGCGAAAAATGTTGCTATTTTTCTTAAAAAATGGCAGCCTTTATGTCGTAAGCTTTTCTTTTCTAATGATGAAAAGTTTTTATTACCGGTTTATGGATGATTTATAATGTTAATTGAGACGATTCCAATGATTAATCAGTTTCGCAATAAGGTTGAACGATAATCAAATATCAGGAATCGGTATGAGCCTCATTATTGTGGTGAGTACTACGTGGTTGCATTCTTTTTGTAACACTAGCTGCGATGCTACGAATGACTGTCCGTAACGCAATGCAACTCATCGTCCCAACTGCTCTTGCAGATATTTGTATCGTTGTTTAATTTTTAGGTAGTGTAGACCTCGTGGTGCTTGTGCAAATGTTGAACGGATTGAGCGAAGACGAGAGCAGTAACTCCCATAGAACAGTAGAGGACAAGGACAGAATGAGCGGAGGAGGTGGCGCGGGTGGACCAACCGCAAGCAGCGCAGGTCTCGCGGCGTGGGAGCGGGAGCTAGCGCACACTCGACGACTGCTCTGGGGTGATCACGTCAAGGACGACGTGTTTCGGCGCTGGGCGCAAGGATTCACTTTTAGCGAGAATGAACCAAGTGCTCTCATACAGCAGGAAGGCGGTCCCTGCGCTGCTATTGCCCCAGTGCAAGCTTTCCTATTGAGGATACTCTTGTCTGAGGCACCTGGTCACAGCTTCCGTGACCTCACCTCAGAGAAATGTAACTCACTTCTAGTTAGGGCTGTGTGTACCATACTAAGCCAGTGTTTAGCTCCTAAGTACAATGTAGCTGTGTACTGCAAGCACGAATCTGAAGCGGAGACTAGTAACACTAACAGCATTAGTGCGGATGAACAGTCAAGTGATACCATTGAGCTATTTCATCGGCGGATTGAGGTGCATTCATTTCAGTCATTAACTGAAGTGGAATCTTTCTACACAAGAAACATTCGTATATTGAAGGACAAGTACGGTGTTCTTCTACTTTTGTATAGTGTCATTCTCAGCAAAGGAGTTACTACTGTAGAGATGGAGTTATCAGAGCTGTCAGACCCTCTTATACACTCTACTTATGGTTATGGTTCCCAGGGACTTATAAACCTCATGCTTACTGGCAGAGCTGTAGCACATGTTTGGGACCATGACCAGGTTGTGGGAGGTTTGCGGTTGCGAGGAATTGAGAGGCAGAATGACATTGGATTTCTTACAATAATGGAACACATGCAATACTGTACAGTAGGTTCCTTCTACAAGAATCCTAAACATGCTGTGTGGGTCTTAGCATCAGAGACCCATCTTACAGTGCTGTTCTCTTTGGAGCGGCGTCTTGCAGCACCTGAAACAGCCGGAGAATCAGCTGAACGCATCTTCCGGTCATTTGACCCTGAAGGGAATAATTTTATACCATCTGCAGCATTACAGGATGTCTTATGTGCTGCTGATTTAGTGAGTGAACCAGAATATGTTGAACTAATGCGACGCAAGCTTGACTCTGAAAATCTGGGTATCATCCTGCTAAGTGCATTCATGGACGAATTCTTCCCTGGCTGTGAACGAGGAGCACCTGATACTTTCACGCTATACCACTACAATGGATTGCCGAGGAGTAACCCCGGCGGGCGGGTAGTGTATCGAACGGGGCGAGCCGCGCTGCTGGAGTGCCCCCTACGCGCTTCGAGCACTGACCCTATGCTCACATGCCTGCAGACGAAGTGGCCCAGTATTGATGTTGTGTGGGATGATGGTCATTCCCCTTCACTCAACTAGCACCCTACACTGTGCTGTTTGTGTATTGTGACTGTGACATGAATCTAACTATTAATGTCGCTGAAAATTCCATTATTTTATTGTATTAACTTATGTGTAAAATTTGTATCGAATAATGTTGAGGCTCAGTGAAGGTCCTTGCACTGATATGGGCAGCTATTTTGTGAAACCGCCACAAATGGGGTATACTGTCGCTGGCCTGTGAGTTTTTTGCAGCCCATTATTCACTGGATGATAATATACACTTAAATTACTTGACTATGCTAGATTTAATTTGTCTTACTACTATTTCATATGAAAAGCCATATGCTTCAGCTGGAGATGATTAATTTTAATCTCTGCAATGTGTTGTGACTATAAGTTTAGCTCCAAGCTGTGAAGAGTGATCTGTTAATGTAAGCAATAAGTTGGTGTCCCATGCCTCACATCGTAGATATGAGGCTGCGGCGCAACCCAGGATGTGATTGATTTTCCTTTGTTTACTATTAGTATTTATTTGTGTAAATACCAAAGTGCTCTGCTCACCACACTGCGCCTTGGCTATGGCTGAGTACGCGAAATGTGCCTTGGTGCAGGAACAGGTGCCTACAACACCAAACTCCACGCTTGCAATGTCACTGTTGGGAAAGCATTGATTTATCTCCTGCATATTATCAAACTTCAATATTAACAATTCCAACATCACAGGACTGAAATACAATAAATTATGTTTCCTTAGGCATTAGGACATTTTTCCAAAATAGATATCGGAATGCCTATAGCCAATGGCTATTTACCAACTACATTTTTAATTAATTGAAAAAAAGGAAATTATACAAAGAAAAGTTTAGAATATACTATTAAACTTAATATAAATTGTAAATAATATATGAATAGAGTAATGATGTAAAAAAATTTACTGTGAATGCTCAGAAACTCGTGCAAGCTAGTGCTAAGTGAAGGATTTAGTCACATTATAGCAACCTTCTGGAATATGTACAGCATTACAATTCGGTGTAATCTAAGTACACTACATAACATGTAAAATGTGCATATTTTATGACCTACATTCACAGATACTTTTTTTTAACCAACAACAATTCTGAAGAATTTATACATTGCCCATTTTACCTTTAGATTAGAACATTCATTTGTTTATCTCAGCCAAACCAGTGTCTGCAAGGACTATGAAAATAATAATTGTTTTGAATTTAGTGTGACGTTTGTAACTTGGCAAGCGCGTTAGAAAGTGGGGCGTATGTACACCGTGTCGTTGGGTTCGTGTAAAATAGCTGTGCACATTAGTGTTGCATTACAAAGAGTATATTGAAAGATATTTTCAGTTAGTCATAAATAGTGTAACATGCTTTTTTAATTACAATACGCTTGTTTTATTTAATTAACTCCCTAATGATGCTTAGCGAACTTATAAGATGAGATTCTATGAGTTTTCCGAATGGGTACTGGTTCATATATAGCAACACCACACATCTCTGGAACATAGCGTAGGATGACTCCGTAGTGAACGTGACATACTTGATGAAGGTAACACGAAGTCGTCTCTGGAAGCAAATGGTCTAGTATGTACGTGGGATTGTGCTATTGGGAAGTCGTGCGCAGCGGTGGGTAAATATATACTAATGAAGAGTACCGACTTGCTACTGGTAGGCCTTTTGAACATTACTGGTCGATTTATCATTGTGTTATCAATAGCAATAACTATTGAAATTTTGATGCTGGATTAAAAAGATGCATATTACAAATTCACAAAATGTTACAAATTATGCTCATTATCTATGATTATGATGCATATTACAAATTCACAGAATGTTTCCATTACTCCAAACCAGTATCTTTTACAATCAAATCAAGATCCATGGAGCACATCAAGCTCGATACTGGATGGCTCCATCTATATCGTAAACATAGTTGAATTTTGAGTGTCAAGCTATAGTGTTCTGTGGTGAAGCTTGACGTGCCCTTGACCCGCCTTGTTTTAAAGAGCTCCTTCGTGAACTTCGTGATTCGCCTCTAATGTAACATCCAAGATTCGTATAGGCTGCGATTCCACCAGAAATGTACGAAATACCAAGGCGTGCGTGCGAGTGCCTCGGAGAGCCAGGAGTGCCCGCGAGTGCCTTTGGGCGCTTGCGAAAGCCAGAAGCCCCCACGAGTGCTTTTGAGTGTCTTCCACTGAAAGGTACTCGCTGGCACTCAAAAGCACTCAATGGCACTCGCGGGCAGTCAAAGCACTCGCAGGCAGTCAAAGCACTCGCGGGCAGTCAAAGGACTCGCTGGCTATCAAAGGCACTGGCGGGCTCTCACGGGCACTCGCGGGTTCTCGCGAGCATTCGCAGGGACCCAACTTAAGTACAGACTGATTAACAAAGTGCCTACGAGTGAATTGATAATTCGTGGACTAACGGTGCACTTAAATCGGACGCTCGTACAAACGCTCTAAAGATGGGATATTTCTGAGAATGTTTCCGAATGCGAAAATATTCTCGGGAACGTTGCCAGGCTTTTTCTTAATTCATTTAAAAGTTTTTTTTGGTACTACTTATATCCCTTTTTTTCATATGACAAAATATTCTTTAGGTACAGTCAAGAGCACATCAAGCTTGACACCTTGTACTTTGAACCGTTCTTATCGTGAGCGGCATAGATTTGGATTTAAGTCTTAAGTGTCAAGCTTGACGTGCTTTTGACCTTGCGACTTAGGTTGACTGACACTTATTGGTGGTCAATACAAGAAAAAGCTATTTTCGTGAAAATCAATTGCAATTGAAATCAACTACCGAGTAAAAGTGTCATTACGAATATGGGTTAGGGGGTGGGCTAGGGTGCCGGTCAGAGGGTAGGTTAGGGGGCCGGTCATGGGTTCGGTCAGGGGGTAGGGTAGGTGTCTGTCAGGGGGCCGGTTGGGGGTCGGTTCGGGGGTCGGTTGGCGGTCGGTTAGGGGGTGGGTTAGGGTGTGAGTTAAGGGGTGGGTCAGGGGGTCACAGCCGCTCAACCACCTACTCACCCACCCACTCACCGTGTTGTTGACAGTGTCATCAGCATAATCAGCGTCATTAGCATCATCAGTACCATCAGCATCATCAGCAGTGTCTCCATCATCAGCAGTGTCTGCAGCATCATCAACATCATAAGCAGCATCAGCATGCTGCATTAGTGTCATCGTCATCATCATTACTTTAGGACCTAGCAGTAGAGCTCCTTGGGAATGCTGCACTGCGCTCATACTTATTTCGTCCGCCAAGCAGCAAAGTGTTACTGCCTTCTGGTTATGAAGGCAGTAGGTACACGTACAACCAGAGCCCGAGGCAACGCTGCCGCGACATTTGTGGTCTGTGGAGGCTTCCGCCGAATCAGTGCCAGGACAACTGCATTGACCCGCCGGCCAGGGAGACCCGTAGAAACGGTTGTTCCGCTGGCCGCCCGCGGTACAGTACAGGGGCCCAAGCGTGCTTAACCAGCTCGTAAGCGTGCTTAGCCACTCCCGGGGAGGTTCGGGGGCCCATCCGTCCGGCGGATCTGCGCAACTTGTCTGTAGGCAAGTCTCTGGGGAAGCAGGCCCCGCGATTTGACCGCTTGTGTCGCGGCACTATTTTCTCGCTTCACGCCTCTTTTTCCCTCCAACATGTTAGCGCAAAGTACAAATTTCGGTCGCACAGCGGTGCACACCCCCACCACTAAAGCGCTCTTTAAGGTGGAATTCACGAACATTCGAGGACTCCACAGTAACATCCACGCCGTCCACCAACATCTTGAGACGGCTCGACCAGAAATGCTGTTCCTTACGAAGACGCAAATACTCTGCCCGGCTGACAGCAGCTACTTGAATTACCCTGGCTATATGCTTGAAGAGTCCTTCAAAGCGAAAGCTGGGGTCTGCTTGTTTGTCCGGGCAGATGTTTGCTGTCGCCGTCTGCGTCATTTGGAGGACCCCTCCTTCTCCATCCTTGGGGTACATGTTGACCTGGGCAGTCATTGCCGTGTCTACATTTGCCTCTACAGATCCCACCACGGCGACATGGAGACAACTCGTCTCATAGACCACCTTACTCGGGCGGCAGATGACGCGCAGGCGCAGTTTCCTACAGCGGAATTGGTGTTTTTAGGGGACTTCAATGCTCACCACGAGTCGTGGTTAAGTTCGTCTAAAACTGACCATGCTGGAAGAACTGCCCACACAATCGCTCTCACACACAGTTTAACCCAACTGGTAAACCAGCCCACCCGGATTCCAGATAGGGTTGGTGACGCGCCCTCTTTGTTAGACCTTCTGCTGACGTCTCGCCCGGCTGGATATCGGGTGGAGGTCCAAGCCCCTCTGGGCACTTCGGATCACTGCTTGATATCCACTAAAGTGGCAACGTTACTGCCACCACCACCTACTGTTGCTAAACGCCGTATTTGGCATTATGCGTCGGCAGATTGGGACGGTATGCGGGACTATTTTGCATCCGTTCCTTGGCGACAGCGCTGTTTTAGTGAGGTGGATCCAACAGCTAGCGCGACTGCCGTTGCTGATGAGATCTTAATCGGGATGGAATACTACATCCCGCATTCGGATCTCGTCAGTAAAGGGAGGCGCAACCGCTGGTTCAACCGCGAGTGTGCTGTGGCTGTCGAGAACAAACAGACTGCATACCGCGCTTGGATCAGGGGTCTAGCTTCAGACGATCCCAATACGAACTCACTTAAAACAGCCTACAATAATGCCACCAGGTCTTGCAAAAGAGCGTAAATCAGAGCGGATGCTCAGCGCGTCGCACGAGTTGGCCAAGAATTCCTGACGCATCCCACTGGTAGTCGGAGCTACTGGCGTCTGGCCAGAGCCGTTGCGTCGAACTTCTGCCAGCCCTCGCTGCCTCCGCTGAGATATTCTGACGGCAATCTAGCCCACAAGCCGCAAGATAAAGCCGACCTCTTGGCAAATCTGTTTGCGGCTAACTCCTGTCTCGACGACTGTAACGCACAGCCACCAACTCTACCTCACTGTGGCTACACGATGTCTGATATTCGTATCAGACAATGCGATGTGCGTACGCAGCTGCAGTCTCTCGACGTCCGGAAAGCTAGTGATCCTGATGGTATCCCAGCGATTGTACTTAGGAACTGCGCAGCTGAGTTGACCCCTGTGCTAATGCGACTGTATCGTCTGTCACTCTCTTCAGGTCGTGTGCCGGACTCTTGGAGAGAAACTAATGTGCAACCAGTTCCCAAAAAAGGCGACCGATCAGACCCGCATAATTTCCGTCCCATAGCCATTACTTCCATAATATGCAAGGTTTTAGAGCGGATCCTTAACAAACAACTGACCCAATACCTAGAAGATCACTCCATAATTAATGATCGGCAGTATGGGTTTCGTCCGAAACGATCAACGGGTGACCTTCTAGCGTACTTATCGCATATTTGGGGTGAGGCTATAGACAAACGTGGCGAGTCGATGGCTGTTAGCCTCGATATAGCCAAAGCGTTCGATCGGGTCTGGCACAAAGCTCTTCTCTCCAAGCTCCCGGCTTACGGTTTGCCAGCCCAGTTATGGAGCTGGATTGCCGATTTCCTTCGTGAGCGGAGAATTCGCGTCGTTTCTGACGGCAGCATTTCGAGGTTCGTGAATGTGAACGCCGGCGTGCCGCAGGGATCCGTCCTATCTCCCACGCTTTTCCTTCCTAGTCGAGTACCTACTCGATGCCTTGGATAAATTACATCGTCGTGCTACTCTAATTATAGGCGACGAAGAGGTCTCATCACGCCTTGAACCTCTGCAACTGCGTAGAGATGTTGCA